TTATGGAAACGCATAGATATAGATGATGCATTCCTCTCCCTCGGTTGAGCTGCATGTTAAACTTCTAAATGTATAAAAATTAAAGATTTAAGATGACTCGTTAGGGTGAAAAAGCTTTTTTAGAAATCTTATATTTTATCAAACCATAAGTTTCACGTTAAAAAATATGATTCATATATATATATATTTAAAATATATTTTCAAGTTAATTGTTTTAATTTTAATTATACGGATAATTAACGAAGTCATATAAATAAATACATAAATAATAATTTTTTAATTTTAAATTATTAAATGATTCATAAAATGTAGAATAAATAGAATATTTATCCTGTGTTAATGAAGTACGTTAGATTGTTTAAATTTCTATGCTATTATTTCTTATTTTGTATTTTTGTATGATACTTATTATGTTTCACATTCATTTGAATTCAATTCGGTTAATTCGTTTTATCGATCGACACATAAAAATTCATGATTATTTGATAGTTATTAAATAATGATATAGAACATTTTATAAGAAGTTTCCACTATATGATTTCTGATGTTCTAATGATTTTGCAATGACTTTTGTAATAAATAAATCATTTAAAGAGAGAGAGAGAGAGAGAGAGAGAGAGAGAGAGAGAGAGAGACAAATAAAAGTATTATTCAATACTAAAATTAACGATTCAAATATTTTAATGATTTCATAGCCATATATATGCGATTGATTGAAATGACTTATTATTACAAAATGACTATTTATCTTTCGCAATATCGTATACGAGAGTAGAATATATAATTACAAAATAATAATTGAATAGTATTTATTTTATAATTGTTAAATGAATTTAACTGAAAAATTTTCCAATTTTCCAATCTAATATTGATTTAGATGTAACGTTCATTCTTACATATTAATTTTCTGTTGTATCGCGAGCAAATAAAAACGAAAGTTTTTTTTCCACTCGCAAGTGTATTGCGAGGAAATAAAACTCTCAAGTAGTAAACTGAAACGAGGTATTAAAATACGAACTAAATGCGCACGCATGCATTTCTCAGGGTACATCTATTTCTGTAAAGGCGCTTATGAGATTATAAGAAACATACAGTTTGAAGAAGCTTATAGGATAAATGTTGATATAGGCTTGTTATAGCCTAACAATTTTTGAATGAGAATGATAGAAAATTGACGGAATCGCCCTCGAGTGGTGGCTTGTAAAACTAGAATATGTCAGTGGCATCATCCGAGCACTCACTCGCACCTTTTACCTGCGTATATACCGACAGAAGAGGCTTTCTATTTTCAGATATCGGGCTCTGTATATTATACCTGCGGTGCAGGTGTTGTCAGGTGCTTTGCGAATGATTTTACCGGCTTAGGTAGCGCGACTTTCAAAGAATTTAGACACCTATAGGCAATTTTTCACTATGTTTATTTATTCTTTTGTATGATGTGTAACAAATAATTGAAATATTAATTTGATTTCATGGATATTTTTATGCATTATTTGTAATATATATGTATCATATATTAAATTACTTGAAAACTTTACAAAATTTTGAATTACATTTATTTTAAATGGGAGATTCACCTACCATAATTTACGAAAATAGAAATAAAATAATTATATAAAATTATATAAAATTTTTTTTTTTAATTTTTAAAATTATATCAAATAATAATTATATAAAAGATATACATTTTACTTGTATTACTATTAAATTTTTGTATGTTATTTTAGAGAATAGTTAAATTTTGTATTCGAAATAAATATGCAATAAAATTTAAAAATACATTTTATCTCTAGAACTAAGAAATATTTATATAATAAGTTTATATCGTTAAAGTGGCCTAGTTATAGTAGAACAAGAGAAGATTTGGCAGAATATTATACGCTTGCCAAATCGAGCAGCTATCATCAACACTTTTAGTTTCGAATTCAGTTGTCAATCTGTTATTCTACAATAAATAAATTCTACTGCTCCTAATATTTTTCTAAACTTATTCGCATCCTGAGCCGTCAAATTGAAAATACCGAAAATTTCTATCTATATAGAACACATCATTCCTTCATTAGCTCAAGTTTATCTTATGATACTTGAATATATTGGTTAAAGAGATCACTTTTATCATACAACTACTCTTTAATTAAATAATTCTTTGAAATTTGAATGTACGTTATAATAAAATGTTAAAAATTATTTTAAAAATAGCAAAAAAAAAAAAAGAAGTCTATATATATATATATATATATATATATATATTATTCATTTCCAAGACTATTGTAAATTTTCATGAATTGTTTTAAAGAATGATTAATATTTTATCAAATGAGATAATCAATTAAGCATTATTCCTATACTATACAATTTTATTTACAATTTTATATTCCAACATTTATTATTTTTTAAACAGAATTTTTATACTATTGAGAAATCGAAAAAATGTGCGATCGCAATAATATTTATACACGTTGAAAATTTTAATGGTACAAGTTGTAGTATTGAATTATCTTGATTAAAATTCTATTCTAATAATTATAATGGAAATTTAATAGTAAAAATATTGTATAAAATTTTTTATTATATAGACAATTAGCTTATTGCCACAAAATAGCTTAATTTCAATATAATTTATATTCAGTATCATTCATGTATTAATTATAATACATATTTATAATGTATTAGTGATATAAAAATAAAAAAATAATAAAACGATAATATTGACAAGTTCATAAATTATAGCAATGCGTTCGACAAATTCAAAATATTTTCTTATGTTTTGAATATTCTAAAATTTTATTTATTAAATAGAATATGCTATCGAAGAAACTTGTATTGTTGTACTACCTCTTTATCTATTATACATTTCAGATAATTTAATAATTAATTCTATCCCAATGTATAAATTAACGACTACTTATTTTAAGAATAAAAGTAATTCAATAGAGATTATTTTATTTAAAGATGATTCATTGCCATAAACAGTACTTTTACTGTATATCGAAAATAATTTTAAAATAATTGCATTTTGTTTTCATTTTTTGACTTCTATATTATTCATTGTTATGAAATTATATCATTTGTTTATTATTTAATTGGAAAAAACATTCAGAATGGTATTATGAATTAACTCGTTCTCATATAATATTATACATACCATATTGAACGTATACAGTTTTAATGAAAATTCTTTCAATACAAGCACGGTAGATAAATGATTCAGCTGATCGATATTAAATAAAAACAATATGATAATAAATAATATGTGTTATTGGGAGTAACGCATGCGAAAAATATTCGAAAAAATTAGTTATATTGCGATCTAAACGAAAATTGACTCTATCTTTAATCACAAAAAATTGATGATCAACATAACTTTCATATATTATAAATTTGTAGCTTTTTTACTTCTTTTCTTTTTCTCTATTCTGGTATCAATTAATATATAAATAAAACTGTTAGATGAACAATTCAGAATTATTTCATTTCATTTGTTATAGATATTGTTTAAAGAAAACATGAACGTTTAATGTTTTTATGTTTCAAGATTTTTATGTTTCAAGATCTTGCAATGATAATAACATTTTTCTTTTATCTATTTCACTTTCTTTTTGTATATATATATATATATATATATATATATATATATATATATATATATATATATTCTTTTTGGAAACATAAAAAGAGGAAATTATAAATTTGGAAGTCATTTAAATCTGATATTTTTATATGGAAACGATTAAATCCTTTAATTGAGTCTCGTATTATAAATCATATCTATACAGCTAACTTTGTATTATATTATTTATAACAGAATTTTATAATTTTCAATATTTTAATGTATTTCGTTTCATTTTAAAATTAATTATAGTTAATATAATTTATTTTTTTTTACATATTTAATGAAAATGATTCGATTCAAGTATTTTCTTATTGTTATATTAATTCCACAAAAAAAAATGAATTTCCATGAAAATTTTAAATATCCAAAAAACAGCATTAAAATAAATTCTTTTTGATTTATGGCCATATTTCATGTTAAAAATTATAGAGAATGTTGAATGTAAATAGTTCAGAAAAATACCTAATCCTATGCTATTCAAGAAAATTTGTAAAGTTTTTTGTGTAATAAAAATCTAATCATTAAAATCTGTACGACGACAACGAAAACCATTGTAAATATGAATAATTTTCTTGTAAGAAAAATTCTTACTTGTAAAATTGAAATATTATAAAAAATTGTGTGAAATGATGGATAGGAATTTGAAGTATAATAATATTTATCATGTTTAAGTTTAAATAAACAATTTATTTAATAAATAACTAATTTATGTAGTTACATTATAATACACAAATTGTTGTTTAATATATATGGGAATTACATTATTACTATGTATCTACATGAATGTTGGTTGTTGGTGACATTATTTTGTTTAATATTTAAACTTAGATCTTCATCTTGAAATCATTTAGACAGGGTTCTTGGTTGATGGGAACCTAAAGGAATAATGAAAAATTTTAATTATATTAATATAATTTTATCGATCCAAAAATTTCATATAATTGTATTCAAAAAATTATTTCATACAGTATGAACAATTATAGAAATGAACACTACGATAGTTGCAATACTAAGTCCTTCTCTTTTCGGAAATATTTTAATAAAATTATCACTATCAATTTTCTAAAAATTTGCTATTATAATTAAATGGCATAACTCTATTGTGAATATAGAAAAATAATCACTAAATATAATGAGAGAAATCATTAATATTAAGAATTTAAAACATTTTCAATTTTAAAATATACAATTTTAAATTAAATTTGAATTTCTTCGATTAAATGTTTCGCCGTATCTTTGTTTGGTTATTTTTTATAGTTACAAACTTTAACAATATTACGAAAATAATGACTCCGATATTATATACAAGAAGCACTTAGACTCATTATAGTTTGTTAAGAATTATTTCTAATATTTGCTTAATTAAATATGAAATATAAAAATTAATTACCTGAAGCGACGGCGGGTGGTGGGCTCAGTATAATTCCGTAACGCTAATCAAATAAAATAGAAATATTAGAATTCTACATAATATATATAATTTATATTAATTATATATAAAATATATATAAATAAATAAATTTAATTTCAAAGAATAAAAATGTAAATATGATATACCTTCGACACTCATAAGAGCGCACGCAAGAACGAGAAGAGCACAAGTAAGGGCATTCATTTTATATAAATTTTTTATATCTTTTCAAGATTATAAAAATCTGAAAGAGCAAAGGCTTTAAATTATTATACGCCAATTTCAGTCTTTAAACTTGTACGTATGATTGAAAGATTATAGGTAACGTTAAAAAAATTATGTGTACTTACTTGAAAATTATTTTGCAACTACTAATGCAATAGTTGAGAACAAGATAGAGTAATCTGATCAACTGTAAAATTTAATAAAATCCACAGTTTATATATTCAATATTTTATCTTCTTATGTTTATTTAAGTATATTTATATTTACAAAGTATAATTTGTTTTATAATGTAGAAGATTTATTTTGATTTATACACAAAGAAGGTATACAATTCAATTTCAATTATACATATTTAATTTAAAAAGAACTTACAATTAGTCGCTTAAATATTTATATGCTGAATTAAAGTTCTGTCTCAAATTGTTAATATTAAACACAGACTTAAATGCCCATTTAAACATTAAATAAATATTAATTAATTGCATATAAACTGTTCATAACATAATAGTTATAATTTTAAATTGAATTAGTTGAATATTTAAAGAATAGACAATTGTTATGTTAAAAAATAGCAAACATTATAAATACGTTATTTATTAATCAACTTGTTTGTCTAATATATTCAATATAATTAATGGAAGAAATATATCTGCTCGAATTTTATAATTGTATGCTGGAAAAATAAGAATAATGTTCGGAAGTTTTAATAGAGGTTTTAATAAAATGTAAAATTTTTTAAACAATAATACGTAAAGAGATAAGTTATTATACAGTAGCTTATATTATTATAATAGAGGGTATAATACATTAGAAAAATCACTTTAGAAACGATTACAATAGATTATTTTGTACGGTTATAATCATTGAACAAAAAAAAAAAAACAAAAAAAAAAAAAAATAAATATATATATATATATTTACACGTTCACATTAATTACAATTTATTTAAATACAAAATAATACATTAGATATTTTGAATAACTCATGTCATCTATTTAAATTACCACCAATCGGAGAAAAATAGTATCACTTTCAATATCATTAAATATTCAATAAGAATTTCCGATAATTTATTATTATATTTTCGCTAAGAATCATAATTTAAAAAATTTTGAAAGTAAAATAAATGTAATTTAATACAACAAATAAATATATTATATTTAATGATTCTTATCTTGCAATCAAATACTTTAACCAGCGAAAAACAATACTTGTCGATCAACGGTTTGTTTGATTAAAACATTTGTCGAGCTTACAGAAAGACAAATTTTTATCAAATTATTTATAATGTATACTTCACAGCCGATAAATCAATAATCGTGAGCATAGATATTAATAAATTGAAATAGAAATTTATTTTTCCTTACAATGAAAAAAAAAGAAGGTAATACTTAATTGTTCAGGACAAATAAAATAATTTCAATTAAATACAGAATTTGAAATTTTAGAAAATGTTTCATTAACATTTTATTATCTGCATTATCTACAATACATAAACGTTTATTCATTTTATCTTTTCAAAAATTTAACTACGCAATGAAATAAAATATTTAATTATATATAATTGCAAATTTATTTCTAATGCATAATATCCGAGATTTTCGTCTATTTACTGGATTTTTCCCTTATCATTTCAACGAAGTAAAATATTCTGCTCATCTCGTATTAAAACATTATTAAAACCTTAATAATATAATTAGCAGTTGAAAAGTAAATTATGTATCTTCCAAAACGGGGTTAATAAGTCAAGAACTCTAAGTATTTTGTCGGTTATCAGTGAATATTTTATATACACATCGATTCGTAAAATAAAGCTACAAAGGCTATGTCGAATAATACTACTACTACTACTACCTAAAGTGTCAACATTAATGGTAATTCTGGCAACAACTAGTCTCATTCAAGACAGCTTTGTCATTCCAAATACTGTTTTATTGAATCACTCCAGGTTCTAAAATATTTATATTCTATTTAGAAACGCATATAGAAAAATTACAAAGAAGCCTATTCAATCATTCCGTTGGATTTCGAAAATTAGCTACTTACTACTATATACTATTATTATATAAAATCAATTGGTTCATTAATGGTAACCCTATAATTTTTGTGGAAAAGTTTTTTTTTATTTCTCCATCAATTCAAAGCCAGCCATAAGGACAAAAATTACTAAGTACTTGTATAATCAATGTTTAAATGCATATTAAACAATTACGTGAATATGAATCAATATGAGTATTATCGAGGCATAAAGAATAATTGTAAATTTCATAGAAATTAATATAGTTACATTAAACATAAAATTTAGCACAAGAATTCCCTCGTAATTACTCAGCCCTATCAATATGAATTTAATGTAGGTAATATGTAATAATTGAAACTCGGCATAATCATTCGTTTTCCATGTAGCTGCATAAATATGGCTTTCTGCTTATTCCATTGCATTGACTCTTCGTAAGGAATGAATTTGCCGGAAATGATTTAATTTTATGCATTTAGAAGCTATTTATGAAACAATACAAACAGATATTCTTTTATAGTTATCTAAGGTATAAAGAGACACATTGATCTTGAATGGATATTGACAATTTTTATCAATATTACTATAAAACTCAACTTTCTTTTTATCAAACTTAATGGTAAAAAAAAATATTTCTTTTCGTTAATTAAAAATATGAAATCGAAGTATTGAAATTAATCTATACATAATACTTATTTAAATCTTATAGATATTTTTTATTGTTTACAAAAATAATTGTTATTATTTTAAATTTTGGAACTCGTATACGTATACGTTTTTGTACGGCTAAATAGTTAGAAGAAAATGAAACTAAATTAGAAGTAAATATAAATTATTTTAATTAATAATAAATATTACAAAAACTAATACATTTGCATATATCGCTATATACCGGCACTAAAAATCCATTAAGTGTATATTAAGTTTTCGGAAGAATAAAATTTCAGACAAACGCATAATATTAATGGTAAATATTGAATTATAAATAGTTAATACTAAGTACAGGTGACTCATTTGCGAGTACTTTACGTTCACGACAAAAGGAAAAGTTAACTTGAGTAAGATAAGGAACACGAAATATATTAATTTAAATTCTTCAACCTTATTTAATTTCATAGCTTCAAACTTAAAGGCAATTGGATTTAAAAATATTACATAGAATAAATAAATAGAGAAAAAATACTTGTTGAATGGTAGTTAAAAAAAAATTTCCCAATAAAGTGTAAAATTTATTATAATTATAATAAATTTTTAAACTTTTTATAAAATAGACGACATTTACGAGCCATTTTTTCTTGGACAATCAAAATTCTTTAATCAATTAACAAGTTAAGCTCCTTGTGCATATTGTATGAGTAACAAAATAAATGATCAATATTACACTTATTTTCATTCAAAATCCTTTTTTAATCATAAAGTAGATGTAATAATAAAAAAAAAAAACACATTTTATTAAAAAAATCTTTTTATTAAAAATTACAATTCTATGACATGGTTTTACTTTCCGCAGGGCGTAGTTAGACGCACTTCTTGAAATCTAAATAATCGAAAAGCATAATTAATATATTATTAGTACCAATTGCAGCAGTAAATTAATTAATTTTATAAATATATTTATTATTAAAAAATGCAAGCAGAAAAAATTATAATTCTTTTAGTAAGGTTTTAAGGTTTAGTAAGTTCACTATTATAAAAATTTCAATAGAATGATGTTTATCTGAAATACAATACACTGTAAGCAATAATTTAAATGCGCTTAAAAAAAATATTATTATTTTGCGTTTAAGCTTAGCAAATCTTTTTTATATGTTACTGAAAGATGAAGGCAAAATGTATACAAAGAAAATGGCAGCGCTTATAAGATAAATTTAGATGTTTATTATAGTTACAATCTATATATTAATATTGGATATATCAAAGTATTCATGTAATATTAATATATTTTCGTATTACACTTTTAGAAAAACTTTTGGAAAAATAATTTCGGAAAAAATTAAAATTAAGTCACTACTTTGCTGTAAAGAAATTCCCTATACGCATATATCGTTTTAATAAATTTTTTAATTAGTCCATCCAAGAAATGAATATAAAAGACACTCTTTAGAAATCAATTCACAATCAACAGATTTATTTATATCTACGGTTATAAAGAAGGTATTTTCATAATATTTATCTACATTGAATATATTCTGAAATATAAATTCCTAATTAATATTTCAATTTTTCTAACAATAGAAATTCATTTTATGGTTTATTCTATTCATTACGTACAATATCATAAAGAAAAATATAGCTTGAATAAATTAATCTGTATTATATTTGTTTTTTATGCAACGAGATATAATGTACACGAAACTTTTCTTATATAGAACATTCATTGAAACAATGAACTATTATAACACATAAATCATTATTTCCGATATTTGTAATGAAATGCATTTCCTTCCATAATTTATATCAAATATGTTACTCCTATACAAATTGTTAAACATACCTTTGACTGATTGAATTTATATCTAGTAATTGTATTTTTTAGTTAAAATATCACTTATATATATATATATATATATATATATATACATTTAATGTTTAAAATTACACTAATATATCTCAATAAAAATTCTAATAATTTAACATAAGACAAGAAAATATACTTTAAATTGTACTCACCGTTGTCGGTTCACAGGCATAGTGTATGGTGTTGAGCCATTTGGTCTGCGAGCTAAATGACAACAAAGATAAAATATAAAGTAAATTTACAAATAAAAAACGTATTATTTCTTATACCTTCAACAAATAGAAGAAAATATATAAACATGCTAATAATAAACATTAATTTCATCATTTTGCCTAATTACAGTATGGTAGATAATAGAAAGTTTCTATAATTAATCAATGCTTTAATAGTACTTGACAATATTTTGAAAGTATAATATTTATTTAAAATTTAAATATACTGTATTTGAGCAAGGTTTAGAGTTGTATAAATTTGTTATGCTTATATAGTATACAGATATTTAAGAATCGAGCGAGATAAGCAATTTTATGTAAAACTCTGAACTACTAGATATTTGAATTATCTATTCTTATTGTAAATGTATGTCTTATCTAAGGCATTATTTGACTAAATTTGAAATTACGATGTAATAAACATATATTTTACAATGTAATAAGAAGAAAAAAGTAGAA